TTGGAATCGAAAATCGAATTCAATTTCGTGCAAAATTTGACCGATTTTTTGGCCGCCAACCCAGGCATTCAGTTGGAACAATTAGTTAAAGAAGTGAGCTATGACGGTCCATCATCAAGAATTCAACTTACATATCGGTTGGCAAATCGTCTAAGTGGTGAGCAGCAGTTTTTAAATTCTCATTGAATTAAGTTGGGCTGTCTGCCTGTTGAAGAAACAAGTTTTTTAAACCACCTTTTAACTTGTCAGGCGACCGCCTCTTGACAACCGACTCAGCCAGGCAGCAGTTCACTAAACCACAAGATATTCGTCTCAATTTGAACTACCCAAGGGCTGGATATGCTGAGATCATCACATACCTTGAAGTCATGGTTGAGCAGGTAAAATATTGATATTGACGTCACTTTTATTTTGAAACCGCTTTCGAGCTGATCCGAATCTAATCAACGTCCATTATCATAAAACACATGTCTCATGTCATCAATCGATTTTTTTGATAACAATATAATAGTACACTTTGGTTTTGAAATGAGCTCTCATGGAGATTTATAGATAGAGTGTTCCTTTTATATTTTTCATTATGAAAAAAAATGATAGAATATCAATTTTACAATGAATTTTTTTAAATAATTTTCAGAGTACGAATTTGGGCAACGCTTATGTCGTCTCCGGAGGCATTGGACAAAGACGAATCGCCTTCGTTATTGAAGCAAAACGTACTCTCTACTGGCGATACAGAGGATCGATTTACGGCTACTAAATCCATTGGATACTATGGCATTCCAATTCCTAGCATGTGTAACAGACAGAATTTGTTCCGAATGTTAATTTCAAACTGGTAAAAATAAAATAATTCACAAACGCAAACATAGTAATTTTTAAATATTAATCTTCAGAATATTGATAGAAACTGAAATATTTCAATTGGCCATTTTTATCCAATGTGAACTTAAAAAATCGAGATTTACGTGAAGTAAAAATTACGTGGATATATCTTTCTTCTGATCCAAACTTTGCCTTTCTTGCTCAGGGTAGTATACACTTACTTGTAAACGGATCGCTTTTTCCGATTCTAATTCACTCTGAATAGTTTTTTTTACCAAAATACAAACTCCATCAGACCAGGTATCATTGATAATTCGATAAGATTTCCAGTCGTTTTCTCCCACAAATCGAATGATTTATTTCATACTTATGATATATTCGTTAGGTTCAATTTGAATTTTTACCAACGACGTGACTTCTGTCTAGGGAAGAGACACATGGAATAGAATTATTGTTTTACTTCAATGTTTCTCAATGTTATGGTTGTTGTTTTTGTCGTCCACTTTGTGCGAATCTTCTTCGTATGCTTTGTTTTGTTAGTATGATTTGTGGACTAGTCGAATAGCGGGATTAGTGCTTTTAGTGTTTGGAATCGCAGTATATAGTTCGTGTCCACCACCCTCGACTTCCGTTACTATATGCGAATGACATCCTTCTCAGGGAACAATAACTTTTAAACTTCTATCCAGTGGTTCTATTTTAATGGCTGGATGATCTTGATTCGTCGGTTAACACGTGCATATGTTTTCGTCTCTTTTCTGCGTGCGTTTGACGTTTGAAAAGCTTTCAAGTTTATCAACTTTTAAGTTTTTCAAACTATGGGCTCGCACGTTGTTATTATGTATAACATATGCTCCTCTGTTATCGGCGGGCGATCGAAGATTATTAAACTATGGGGTCACTTAAGCGGCTCCCAATATTAAATCTGACCATGGCAAACTCGTGTTGGGTGTATTGTATACTCTAAATTCGCCTTCGAATGTTAAAAAATTTCTTCCACAACACTTTCGATGCTATTTTCACCCTTTGAAACTCAATTGGGCGAATAGGTTATATCCTACGAAAGTTGCGAAACAAGGCCGAAATTTAAAGCAACTGTAAATGGACTTAAATAATAAATGTTCTGTATAAAACCGTTTCAAAAACGAAACTTCAACAAAATGCAAAAATTTGTTCAATTAAAACGAAACGAAAAAATAAATCATCAAATCTCTGAGTAAGATTGAGAGTAGAGTATGATTTGTCTACATATTTTACAAAGAAGCTTGTGTACATTCGCTGGAATTACAATTATTATTAGATTTGTTGACCGTTTGAATACATATTCACTTCACTGAACTGCATAGTTAATTGTTCATTTGTTATCGTTAATCCATTTGGATTTGCCCTTCAAAAATGAAGTGTATTGCTCTGAAAAATGTTTTTTCTCATTCAACAAGAATCATGTTTCTCAAGAAATGATTTCGCAACTCTTATCTATAATTTGATCGAGCGACAAAGCCTTCCAGCATTCTGCAAACGTGACGCTTCGATCAATTTCATCATCTCTAGAATTAAAACGCACATATCACAGATTACAATGATTACGTTGTAAATACTTAAGAAAAGATCGATAATTGAAGAACGGATGAGAGTAAATTTCGAATTTTATTGAAGTGTTTGCAAAAAGGAAAATTGAAAAATGCTTTGTTCTAACAAATGATACACTTTATTGAGTTACACAGTTGTGTAACATATTCAATCTGTTGCAACCGTCATCGTCAATCGAAAAATAATTTGAACAAAGTCCATGATTAATTGTTTACGATAAATTTGTAGGGTTATTTTTATTGAAATTCATTGTTAATCATCAAACTTAAGGATGTAAACAATTTCTTTCTGATAAACACATGATTCTCAAATGTACTATCAGTTCTATGCACCCTTGATCTGGGTCTCTGGTTGCTTGATTACAATTTATAAGTTGTTAATTTTTATGAGTTGCGTCAATATTGAGTAGTAGACATTTCCAGAACTTAGATCAGCTATAAATATCGTTGTTGTACTGGGATGCAGCAGTTCATGTTTAGCATTTGTTCAACGACGAGAGACGTTTTTTGCAAAATAAGAAAGAAACTGTTCGACTTTTTAGTTGTAAAAAATACGGCAAAATTTTCGAATATTTTTTTTTTCTTTTCATAAATTCTTCAACATTTTGATTTGTTCAATACTTCAGATTGCACCTTTTCTCCCCATCACTTCGACAAGTTTAGGATTTGATTCTCAGCAGTACAATAATCACTTGTGTGATATCTTCTCAATAACGTCGGGATTAAAACTATAAAAGCTGATCCAAAACTCAATTCAATCACGCATATTCGAAGAAGAAGTGGTTTGTTGCACAAGCAAAGTGAGCAATTAGTTAAAATGGTTCGTTTGGGTTTATTCGCAATTTGCTTAGTATTGGCATTTGGTTACTGTTCGGCTAAGGCAATTGATTCGAATGTCAAAGTCGCCGTTGTGCACAATTTGACTACGTTTTTGAGCGAAAACCCTGACGTTAAGCTGTTGCAGCCTTTGATCAAAGAGCAGCTAGGTGATGTCGCATTACCCAAACTACAAATTAACTATCGACTCGGCAACCGAATTTCCGGTAGGAACTCTAATTTAAAAAGTTAAAGTAAGAGAAGTGTATCCTTAGCAATTTTAATTTGTATTGTTGGATATTAGGTGATCGTTTGTCCGCAACGGCCGGTGCCAGCAACCAATGGTCTACACCGCAAAATGTTAAACTCACTTTAGCCTACCCGAGATCTGGAGTTGGCAATGTCGTCACCTACGTTCAAGTTATTGTTGAACAGGTATGCATTTTGATTATGAAACATTCGTTTGTTTTGAATTGAATGAATTCATTTCATTCGATTTTGGTTGCTGTGTACAGAATACATGGGCATAGTAAATTGCAATGCTTGGCAACAGTTCCAGGCTAGGACTTCCAGCTTTTAAGAAAATGATGTTCATTGAATATTTTAACTCGATTTTAGAGCACAAACTTGGGTCGTGGCTATGTAACCAGTGGTGGAATTGGACAAAGACAAGTCACTATCATCATTGAAGCACAAAGTACTCTTTACTTCAAGTACAACGCAGAAATTTTCGGCTATTGAATACGAAAATTTGGATCAACTATCATATATATTATTTTTTCATTTGTAATTTTTCGATCAAATATCAATAAAATGTTGGCATTTTGAAATGTGCATGTTTTTTTCCACTTGTAAGTGTTTTTTCCTGTCTTCTTTGGTACTTCAAGAATGAAGTAATTTGTGATAAAGCGAACAATGGATTTTCAATGGTTTGCTTTATTTCACACGTCGGTCGTCCTCATTGCAGCTTTGATTGAAATAGAACGGTGACGTATTGACTGGCTAACATTGCGGATGATTAATTTCAATTTATTGGAGAGTATTTGATTTGCCGCTCGCAGTATTTTCGTTTTATTCGATTCGGTTTCCGTAGGAATGTATCGCTGAACAGTTACAAGAAAACAAAAACAGCATAAAAAAACTGCATTTAAGCAAGAAGTTGTTCAACTGACTGCAACAAAGTACAATTGATAAGATATTTATTATCGTTCAATTGCCGCTGATGACATGTAACGCTGAAGTGCACAACATGAAGCATGACACATCAATTCCATGAATAAAAATGCACCCGCTGTTATCATCTGAAATGACTCGATTGGCAAAAACCAAACGCATTTTGCGATTTTCTTCTTAAATAACTTTATGATTAAATCGAAAGTAAACTAAAACTTTAACCACCAACGAAATTAACGAAATTATTTTATGATTTAATGGATTAACAAAGTAATGATTTAAACCCGTTCGATAAGCTTTATTTCACGAAAAAATAACTATAAATTCTGTGTCCTACACAAGCTGAAGACCAATTCAAGTTTTTCTTCGGAAAGCTAGAAAAATGTCTCGCCTTCCATTCATTACGGTTTGCTGGGCGTTTCTCCTTGCTCACAATTTCATCATTTGCTTGAGCAATGGCCTAAAGGAGCCAGAATTGAACAAGCTAATTGAAAAGAATTTCGATGCTAAATTCTCCTTACAGCCCCGGGCTGACATTGTAACTGCGCCTAAATATAAATTCACATACACACGCGGTGTTCGAATTCCAGGTAACGCATAGAATTCTTCTTCGCTTTGAAATCAATTCTTCAACCGCTTTTACTTTTTCATTTAGGTGATCGTCTTGTTGCATCAGCTTTTGAGAGTCGCAAATGGCCTGTGGCGCAAAATGTAACACTGAACTTGACTTATCCGCGGGCTGGTGTGGGATCAAACATTTCCTACGTTGAAATTTACGTGACACAGGTGATGAAATTTAATGCACTTTCAAAACAGAATACAAGTTAATTATTTATTTGTCGCAAATTTTAGGATACCACATTGGGATCGGGACGTTTGACAGATGGCGACATTCAACAGCGCAAACTCTCTATCACTATTGAAGCATTTAAAACGCCACAGTTTGGACATACTACATATATTTATGGCTATTGAACACTAATTTGGATCTTATCAATATTTCACTAATTTGAGTCACTTGAAAGGGGTCTATCTTTGTTAATTACAATAAACTGTACATATGATGAATAGCATGAATTTTTCGTATTCTTTCTCTTTGCTTTCATAATGAATTTACATCGAATGAGAACAACAGCTCCGATTTTTCTTTCAAATGTAGTTCATCCATTTTGAGTATTCTGCAAAATCGAAGTGCTGCATATGTGCCATGAATAGACATGGAATTTCAATTGTATTTCTCATTTTGAAATCAATAGAACTTTGAACACCTGGAAAAAGGTTTTTTTTTCTTGTGTTTATCTAAAACATCAATTGGATTTTTCATCGTTAGGTAAATAACTGATAACAATTTTATTATCTCTTCCATTTAAACTTGAACTTCGATATCATTCGAATGATATTCTTGCACAGACTTGGCTATTATTTCTATAAAGACAAGCTGCACTTTGAGCAGAATAGTTAATTCAATTTCTGTTCTTTCAAAGTGATTCTCTGTGAAATTTCAGTAGAACAATTAAATGGCTCATTTCAAATTTGGAATTTATTTGATTTTAGCGTTTGCATTCAATTGGGTGAAGTGTTTTGATGAAGCAGCAGATTTGAATGTTAAAGTGACTATACAAAATTTGACAACATTTCTAAATGAAAACTCAGAAATTAAAGAATTATTCCCATTAGTAAAAGAACAAGTTAGTCATGATCCAACATCTTTGTCCAAATTAACCTACTCCGCTGGCGAAAGAGTTGACGGTGAATACAATATTTCCCTTTGATATGATACAAGGTTGGGAAACACTACAAATAAATATATGGTATTCAACAGGTGATCAACTGGTCGCAACGGTATCAGAAAGCTATTCATGGAATACGTCAGGCGATCGAAGACTCGTCATAACTTATCCGAGAGCAGGAGCGGGTGCTCTTATTACCTACATTCAAATTGTCGTTGAACAGGTAAGTTTTTTTTTTCTGAACTTCAACTCCTTGGATTAAAAACTAAAATGACATAATTTCAATTATCAAAATCGATTTCAGAGTACACCGCACGGCAAAGCTGCAATAACAAAAGGTGGACTTGGATTAAGATACATTGAATTCTATATTGATGCCTACCAGACTAATTACATGAACTACACTGTGGAAATTTATGGCTTCTATTAAAACCAATTTGTAGACGTTGATAGAAAAAGTGAAAAGTACTTATCATTATCATTTTATGGAACTCTTCCCCTATGTTTAAATCTCCACCAAAAAATTTCTAGCGTAAGCGGTATGTGGAGTAGATAATTGAAAAAAATAAATAAATTTATTTTGATCGAAAAAAAAGAACAAAAAAATCCCCATAATATTTTTGGGCATTTAAAGTAACATGTTTATTTCGTTATCGATCTTGCTACGTACTTTAGTTCAAATGCAGCGATAAACGACATTATACTTACTATGATTTACTCAAATTCTCAACGAGATAGCTACTTATTGACTCCACAAGTTTAGAATCGACAGCGATTCCAATGCTTTATTTGCTTAATTCGGTCATCCGAATACTACGAGCAAATACTCCAATGAAAAATCCAAAACGCATCGCTTAGAGTAAATGTCAATTTTTTCTTTCCTTCCAAACTAATTTGAAATGAAATGAATTGGAATCGTTGTCGATTCTAAAATTGTAGAGTCAATAAGTAGCTCTCTCGTTGAGAATTTGAGTAAATTATAATAATGTCTTTGCGGCACCAGTTCATGTTTCAGCACACTGAACAAAATCAATTTCCGATAATACTGACAATAAAAACTTAATGATGTCTAAACGACAATGGAATTATTTGTACATTTCTAAAACCCAAGTTATTGGATGAGTTCAGATATCACCAATGGGAATGCCTTTATTAGCAGAATTTTATTCAAAGGATATGATTCAGTTCCATTGAAAGTGTATCAATATGCTTCAGTTTAGCATATTCTCGCTTTGTTTAATTTTACCGAATTTCACCGTTTGCATTCAATTTGTCAGAGGTTTCGACAAATGGTAATATTTCAAATCCACTCGTTGATTAACAAGTGCAACAAAACCGATTTATTGAATTCTTTGCTCTCTTTTCTACATAGCCGAATGCATTTTATTCGCTCGGTATTGTTGGAATACGTATAATTGCACAATGTACGTGGGCTAGAAGCATTATTATTCTTGTCATTGAACGCATGGACGGATGTATACTAGGGTGGTCCAAACTGATTTATCATGGTAAGGTATATGCTCCCAATAGCTTAAAATTAAATTGGGCTCAAAACTAGCTGATTCCCATTTTCAGATCAAAAAAATGTTAAAATCTAGTGGTCGATAGAGCCGTACTTAAAATGGCTGTTGGCATGATAAATCAGTTTTAGCCACCCTAATGTATACATTGTAAAACTTTTTTTCTGCGTTATTACAACAAAACAGAGACAAGATATGTAAAAACTTACTCGAGAATCCTTTATTTGTTCAGGATGAAAATCTTAATTTCTGACGTTAATGGAAGTCAGCCAGCTGAGCCCAACTACGGCTATTTGGTACATTTTGTCTTGTGACTTATTCTTCTTTGTGACTTCTTGTGTTGGCTGCAGTGTTTGAATTTTCCAATCCGCTCGATAGAGCCTCCATAGATTGAATCGAAAGAGTTTTTCAAAAGAGACTCTTTCAAAAGAATCTTTGCGAAAAATTTCAATACTCTGTTGCAAATTACGGCTGTAAACTATATTCAAATAATAGGTTTTGATTTATATTTTAATACTATGAAGAAGAAAAAAACAAAAAAAAATTTTTATGCTAAATTTTATTGAAATAATTGATTCCGTTCGATCCATATTTTGACAATCGTCGTGCACCGATTTGTGGCATTTCATCATTCGCTGCAACTTCATGCCATACTTGGTATATATACGATTGTCAAAATGATCGTTTTAATGAAATCAATTATTTCAATAAAATTTCATATAAATAATTTTTTTTAGTTTTTTCTCTCCATAGTATTAAAATATAAATCAAAACCTACCTTTTGAATAAAGTTTACAGCCGTAATATGAAACAGTATATTGAAATTTTTCGCAAAGATCCTTTTGAAAAACTCTTTCGATTCAATCAATGGAGGCTCTATCGAGCGGATGGGAAAATTCAAACCCTGCTGTTGAATTTGTGACATATATTTTCATTGAAAATGGTCTAAAACGTCGCCGAGCTAAGCCGGCTGAGCTCAACCATATGTGTTTATGCAGCCCTTATCATTTTGAAGAATAATCAAAAAATCAATACATTCCAAATGGTTCGGTTGAGTTCATGAATATGATTGCAATATCCACATATGAAGGGTATAACCTTGATTTTCATGGTAATTACAGTCGTTGGTGGCATAATGCTGCAGTTCGTAATCAATTTTCATATTTCATATTGTGCTTACGTATCATGGCCAAAAGAAGACTGCGCACAAATTTGCTGTAATCGATTGAGAAAGCCATGAACATCGATAAATGATTCCAAATTATTGCTTGAATATTTAATCAATGCATTCGTGTGCAAAAGTCTAGCATTTATAGTAGAAATTTTCTATCTACGCATTTCCAATATTATTATATACATAAAAACGGTTTGAACACCTATAAATCAGACATTCCAAATAACCAAGTGCTCTCTTTATATCGAATCTAAGGACGATTCAGCGTATCTCTCGAGACAATTCTCTCTCTAAAACTCTAAACACAATTTAGAAATATTTGAATTGAATTTGTTACACAATTCAAGACTAAGGGAAATAATACCAGCAACCAGTTATCACTTAAGGAGGGAATCATAACAGCTAGATATCTCGGTAAAAATTCTCGATATTCACGGAAAATATTATTTCTTTATTCATATTGGGAAGTTTAACATTTTGCTTCAATGAAAAACAACAATCCAAGGTTGCCCTTGCAGACACAGGTGTACATATTCTGGTGTCCATGCCAGTGTGTATGCATAATTTTTGTAAACTTGTACATTTTCCAAGTATATTCAGCAGCATCTGGCTGAGTCTCACAAATCTATCATTCTGTATAACGCAAATATATTGCTATGATTCAAAGCATTTCAATTCAGTTTGGGTTAGGATTCCGAGCAATCAAGTTCCTTCAAATTTAATAATAGTTCATCAAATTAAAATGGTGTTGAACGACAAATATGTACGACCATCCGTCCGTGAATATTTTCGAACTTTGAGAACGATTAGAGATGATTGGAAGTTGAAAACTCCATTGCAAAAGTGGTGTTACCTCAATGGAATTGGAAAACATACACTCGGTATCCTTGCGTTACCAGCATTTGAAAGAAATCAGACCAGGTATTGGTATTCTTACGCAGGCTATGTTTTGTCTGGCTTCTACGTTGCTATTGGAGCGTATACTATTCTCTACTACTTACTTCATGGTGAGTTTATGAAGTGCTTGCCGTGTACATGCAATATTATAGGTAAGGTCGATTTAATACAAATCCGATTTTTGGAGCCACCACGGGTTGATAGCAATGAGCCAATGAACTATTGAATGGCAATATGCTTTGTGCTTTTCTGCAACACATAGCACAATCTCAATCATACAGATTTTAAATAAATATACAAGAAAATTATTTACATCGTATTGGCAAGAACATGTATATATATATCAATAAAATCGGTCGGGAATAAAAATGACTAAAGTTGAACCACTTATGGATAACCGTAACACAATATTCTTGATTTTTAAAACTGCAACATAAATTCTGTTCGCTTGAAAGTGAATCGTAAAATATCTGTGGACTATAGAAATCGTGTTTCACTTTAATTGAAGCAAAAATGTTCGATACACTTTCAAGCTAGGGGGAAAGAACTATTTATATTTGTAAATATTTATAAGCATTTGCAATATTTACGTTCATTTTACGTCCATTTAAAAGCGTATTTACATAGAATATTTATGAATGCTTGAAATATTGACAGCCGCGCGAGCGCCATCTGCAGGTCGCAAATACGCTGTAAATATTCATACAAATAAGTATGTTCATTTACACTCATTTACAATATTTACAACATATTTCCACAGTTCTTCCCCCCTAGCTTTCAAGTCCATTGTAATGATGATTCATTTTAATGGTGGTTTTGGTTGTGATTTGGCTTTGGAGTGAAAATTAGGTGATAAGGAGCGCGAATTGCGATGTGCCGATAACACCATTGGATTGGGCACATGAAATACTTTTGAAGAATCGAAAAAAAAAATTTAACTTTTTTTTTCGATTTTTGCCTGTTTCCGACCGTCTACATGGGAAGTTTGTATGAAAACCTCGGAGCGCCGCTGGTATTGCATTGGCTTCTATGGCCAAATGTACACATGGAAATATCTCGAAAACGGCTGGGTTAATCGGCAAAACGGACCATGATGTCACTCCCGGCTGGTTTGACGGCCTAGAATACAAATCCGGTGGAATTTGGGCTGATCCATGGATTCTCAGGATTCGACCTTATTCTAGCACTTCAATTTCTTTCATAACAAAACATAGGGAATATGACTTTACAGATGCACATAAAAAAGGAAGCATTGGAATCTGGCCAAATCCTGAGAATCCATGGATCAGCCGAAATTTCACCGGATTTGTATTCTAGGCCATCAAACCAGTCGGGTGTATACACTCCCTTTAGGGAGTGACATCACGGTCCATTTTGCCGATTTCGAGATATTTCCATGTGCAAAAATTTAATAATATTATATTCAATTGCATTGGCCGTTATGGAAAAAAACTCGAGCGTCGAAAACTTATGCTATTTCTTATGCTCACACTTATGTGTAATTTTCAAGTGTATTATAATCGGTTGTTCGACGAACAACACAGTTGCTTGCTGGTCCGATGCTGAAAATTAACGCGCAATAGACATTGCACACACAAACGAGATTGTGCATGTTCTGGCAACGTTGCTTTATAAGCGATTATGAATGAACGTAATGAAAAATTTACGCTCATTCATAATCGGTTGCAAATCGACATCATGGTCCGTTTTGCCGATTAACCCAGCCGTTTTCGAGATATTTCCATGTGTACATTTGGCCATAGAAGCCAATGCAATACCAGCGGCGCTCCGAGGTTTTCATACAAACTCCCCATGTAGACGGTCGGAAACAGGCAAAAATCGAAAAAAAATTTAAAAAATTTTTTCGATTCTGCAACAGTATTTCATGTGCCCAATCCAATGGTGTTATCGGCACATCGAAATTCGCGCTCCTTATCACTTAATTTTCACTCCAAAGCCAAATCACAACCAAAACCACCATTAAAATGAATCATCATTCCAATGGACTTGAAAGTGTATCGAACATTTTTGCTTCAATTAAAGTGAAACACGATTTCTATAGTCCACAGATATTTTACAATTCACTTACAAGCGAACAGAATTTATGTTGCACTTTTAAAAATCAAGAATATTGTGTTACGGTTATCCATAAGTGGTTCAACTTTAGTCATTTTTATTCCCGACCACTCATATATATGCATTGTTGGAACGTGAAAGAACTCACGTACCGCGCCTACCCGCTGCCACCCGGTGAATATACATTACATATAATACAAATTTAGCGGATGATCACCCGGAGGAGAATCTACTGTATAAACAGAGTACACATAGTACGTAGCGCTACGTGTGTATGGTACACAAGGAGCGCGCACACATTTAGAGGCTCTGTATACGCTTAT